TATGTGAAATGCTTTTGAAGATGAGGACATAGGGATGCAGTCTGTGCTGGATGGGATTACACTCTCCCTGAAAACCCAGGTTCACAGCTTGAGTGTACTTCTGGATTCATCCCTCAGCCTGGATGTCCAGGTTTCAGCAGTGGCTAGAAGTGCCTTTGCACAGTTAAAACTGGTCTGCCAGCTGCTCCCGTTCCTTAAGTTATCTGATTTGGCTGCAGTTACATATGTCTTAGTTACATCCTGCTTGGATTACTGTAACACACTCTTATGTGGGGCTGCTTTTGAAGATGGATTGGAAACTTCAGCTGGTTCAAAATGCAGCAGTCAGAGTTCTGAATGGGGCCACTTGTAGTGAGCATGTAATGCCCCTGCTACAACAACTGCCCTGGCTACCATTCCATTTCTGAGCCCAATTCAAGGTGCTGGTCATTATCTATAAAGCCCTGTATAGCTTGGGTCCAGGATATCTGAAGGACCACATCTTATATGAGCCTTCTTGGGACAAGATCATCAGAGGAGGCCCTCCTTGGTCCCATTGCCAGCACAGACAGGGTTGATGGGGACACAAGAGAGGGCCTTCTCTGTGGCAGCCCACAGGTTATGGAATGCTCTCCCATGGGAGATCAGGCAGCCCCCCCCATCACTTGTCCACAGCTGAAGACCCATCTTTTCAGACAGGCTTTTAACTTTAACATGTAACTTTTAAAGTGAGTCCCTGGGTGCTTGTTTTATCTTTTTTCAGAGTGATAGTTTATTTTAAAGTTAACACTTTTAAGTACTTGATATATTTAATTATTATAGCAGTTCGATTTGTTTCTAACATGTTATTTATCTGACCTAAAACTATATGCAAAAAGTTCCATGGAGATGCTGTGTAGGCATCCTTCAGTCTTGAGAGACTATGGTAACGTGGTCTGAATAGAGGTCTCAGATCAGTGTCTAGTGTGGCCGAGAAGGCCAATTCAAGAGTGACAATCCCTTCCACACTGAAGACAAATACAATCTGTCCCCTGTCCAGCTCCCTGATTTTGCTGGTTTGGGGACTGCCTGCTGGACAAGGATCTCTTCGAAATGGAGAGACCATGCTGCATCACCTGCCTCCAGGCTGAACACTTAGATGTCAAGGTTTCCCATCTGTTGAGGTCCATTCCTAAGGCCTTCAGATCCTGCTTGCAGATATCCTTTTATTGCCGCTGTGGTTTCCCTCTGGGGTGCTTTCCCTGCACTAATTCTCCATACAGAAGATCTTTTGGAATCCGACCGTCAGCCATCCTCACAACATGCCCAAGCCAAAGTAGAAGTTAAATCACTGCTAAACACAGTCCAAATATTTAGTGATGATATCAAAATGAAATTTGAATTAACAAAAGTGCAGCTCTGTCGGTACATCGTAGCAAGATCCAAAACTAGATGGAATAGAGATTAAAAAAGGCAATATTATAACATCACTATCAAGTGATGAAAACTACAAATACTTTGGAATAATAGAAGCAGATAACATCGTGCACACAAAAGTTAAAGAACCAACAGAGAATATCAGAAGACTGTGGAAAATCTTAAAATCAAAGTTAAATGGTTGAAATACACCCAAAGCCATAAACAATGGGCCATTCCAGTAATTAGATACCCAGCTGGAATAATAGATTGGACTCAAAATGTATTTGAAGGATTGGATGAGTAAAAACAGAAACTAATGAACATGCATCATACACTACATCCAAAAAGTGATGTGGACCGATTATATTTACCATGAAAAATCAGAAGCTGTGGATTACTGCAAATATAGCAGGTAGTAGAGGAGGAATAAAGAAGCTTAAATAATTATACCAGTACAAGCAGAGAAAAAATACTTAAGGCACTGAAAATGGAGAATATTTTGAAAACAACAGAAACAAAAGCTCAATATGAGAAACAACAATTTGAAAATAAATTAAACAGCTGGAAAAATAAGCCACTACAGGGACAAAACCTGAAAAATATTGATGGAAAGCATAATCATAATTCAACATGGGCGTGGCTAACTGGGGATCCTTAAGAAAGAAACCGAAGACTTGATCTTTGCTGCATGCATAAGAACAAGCACTCCAAACAAACGCAATGAAAGCTAACATCCAAGGAATTCGTGCTAACAGCAAATGTCAACTCTGCCAAGAAAAAGATGAAACTGTGTCACACCTCATATGTGAATGTCCAAAGATTACACAAACAGATTACAAAGTTAGACATGATAGAGTGGCAAAGTTAATGCACTGGTCATTATGCAAAAAATATATTTTGCCAGCCTCAAAAAACCCATGGGACCATCAGGTAGAGAAGGTGTCAGAAAATGAGGAAGTCAAGATCCTATGGGTTTTCCAGATCCAAACTGATAGACACCTTGAACATAACACACTAGACATAGTAGTAATAGAACGAAGAAATCCAGATCATTGACACTGCAATTACAGGGGATGGCAGAGTCGAAAATAAAGAATTAGAAAAACTAACAAAGTACAGAGACTTGGCAATCAAAACATCTCGCCTCTGGAAGAAACACACTTCAGTGATCCCCATAATCATTGGGGCTTTGGGAACAATATCAAGAAATTTTGCACAGTATTATAAGCAGTTGCAGGTTTGAGAAATCACATCATCAGGGCTACAAAAGCAGGCAATATTAGGAACATATATACTGTGTTGATATTTAACAGATAGGTTTTTGGTTAATACCAGTCAATGTTTTTGTAATTTTGACTGTGCCTCAAGTTTTTGAAGAAGAAGAAGAAGAAGAACATGTGCCATCATGTGAATTTTGACTTGTACTGACCCTGTTTAGGGTTTTTAGGTAGAGAATATTCAGAAGTGGTTTACCCTTTCCTTCTTCTGCAGCATCCTGGGACAATGCAGCTGGCCAAGGCCACGTAGACTGATTGTTCTGGGAGGCACAATGGGGAATTGAACTCCTAACCTCTGGATTCACAGCCAAACACCTAATTCACCGAGCTATACTTTTTCATTACTTTCTATTATTTCCATTATTTTTGCTAATGTGTAACAGAACAAATAACTGATGAAGTACGGTGTTTAAAAATTAAAAAGTTTTTTAAAATGCCCTAAAATTTGAAAATAAGTTTAGTTAAATAACAGAAAACTAATATATAATATAAGAAGCAGTTAAAGAAAAATAGTGGGGGGAAATCCATCTAAAAGACAGGAAAATGCCCTAAAATCGGGGGCAAATGCACCCAAGCATTTTACACATGTATACTACAAGCAAAAACATACAATAAGTAAAAAATTGCTTGATGAAAAGGTAGCAGTATCAACCCTTTCCTCCCCTTCTGAAATCCTGGGGAAAATCTGTCTTCTGAAGATGTTTGTTTTCCAAAATCTTCTCCAAAGTAGATCACCTATTTTACAAATAGATACATACACAAGCACACTGTTGGTTCTATCATAGGTCTCTGTTCTCAGGAAGGAGTTCACAATCTAAAATTCAACTCAATGGACATAATGAAGGTGCATGCAGGAACATGCGCCTTTGAAACATTGTGGGTGACTCTCACAGAAATATTGTGGGAAGCCCTTCTTTTCTTGCATGGAAGAAGGAGCAGGGACTAGTTTGAAAGATCACTCTAATCTCATATGTATTTTGAGGGAATGATACAATGTGTTGTTGTAATGACCACTAGATGGTACTGGTGTGCTGCATTTTTGCCTTTTACATTTTTTGCTTCACTGATTTTACTGTTGTTTAATTAAATAATCTTGTTTCCTTTTTCTGTCCTATAACACTTTCTGATTTCATTCAGGTAAAGGAGAATTTGGAAACTAAAGAAACCGGGTGCTTAGCTGAGCTCTGTAAAAGCTTTTTCTCTTCAAGCCCAGTTCATGTTGACTCTTAGCTGCTCCTTTCCCCATATGAATTCCGACATACACAGAGTGCAACTACATTGACTATTTACCTCACAGTTTGTGTTGAATTTTGTATGGATAATATTAAAATAAAAACCACTGACTACACAATGTAATGCTAAGTACAGGGAAGCTTTATATTTTTCACTGGGGAATCATCTTTTTTTTTAACCAGTAGGGAATAGTTTAGAGATGGTCTAGGGCAGAGATCCCCAACCCCCGGTCTGCAGACTGGTGCCGGTCCATGGCCTGAGCTGGACTGGGCCATGGAGACAGACCTCCCACCCCCCTGGCATGCACTCCCCCCACACAGCCCCTTTGTGTGTGTGTGCGCCAGCAACCACACAACTGCTCCCCACCCTGCTGTGCATGCGCGTGAGTGCTGCACCGCCGTTTGCGCATGTGCACAAGCGCCATGCCACCATTTGCACATGGTCTAAGGCGTGTCAGTAGGTGTGCTATTACTGTACATCATTTCCATTTGACTGAGTGCTTGTTGCCTCCTTTCCAAACAATTTTTACAACATTATGTTTACCAGAGGTAGCACTGTGTTAGATAAGTGCTGTGTCACTTTGGAAAAATAAAAATTAAAAAAGAGGATGAAAATTTCTGATCTTGATGGTTCTTTTCATAATTGTTAGAGCTTTCTGCCTCTGTGGACTCCTGGAGCACAATATTTGATCGTATTTAGTGTGGACAGCTGCAGCAATTTCACCTCCCCACCCAAAAAAAAGCAGGGGAAAATGCCAAACCAAATCGAGGGGCCCTCCTCATTTTGCCATCCTGGCAAAGAGGGGTGAGCAGCTAAAAAAAGGGAAAAGGTTATTGCATGGAGAAGAGAAGCTGTACCAGATAAAACAAATGTTGATGGCCCAGCAACTGTTTCTCAGTTCTAAGCAATCCGACTAGTGAGAAAGATTAGTCGAAAATCATAATACTTTCTTGAAGAAAACTATGCTAAGGAATGAGATATTTAGGAAGTCAGGTATTTGCGGTGCTATACCTTACTTCTTTATGTATTTAACATATGCAAGAAATTGCTCAGCAACATGGAAAACAAAGATAAAAGCTTTGCTTTTCTCATTTTCTCTCTTTAAAATTTCAGTTTCGTGTGAATGAGTTTGGTGCCCTGGAAGTCATCACTGATGAAACTGAAATGGAAAGTGTCAAGAAGGCCACAGCTACCACAACTTGGATGGTGCCAACAGCTCAAGAAGGTCAGAAGACTGGTGCCAATTATGTTTCTACATTGTCACATGTGTAGAAACCAAGTGGGAAAAAAATTGTTGAATGCCAGTGATTATATATATTTTCGGAGAGTCTGGTGCATTTTGCTACTACTTTATAGGCCTTCCTCAGGAAGCTAGTCAAAATACAGATCTTGTGTTTTGGTGGATTTCCCTGAGGAATGCCCTAAAATGTATAGGACTGCGCAAATTAGAAATACACAACTACTGCCATTCAGAGGTTTTTCCGTCTTGGTTTCTGTTTCAGGGAATGCCTGTGAACGTTGGTTTATTACCTATTGTGCATCCACATACATACAAAAATGAAGTTATCAAATTGTATAAGTGAGAGGAAAAAATAACCTAGTTTTATAAATCTACAGTGCAGCCTGTTACACACTTTTCCTGCACAGTTCCTGTTCTAAATAAATTGAAATTGAATTTGCATAGGTCCTGAGACCCAAGCTGCATGTTACGACACCCTGTTTTTTTTAAACCCACTAAATTGGTTTATTGATTTTTTTATACCACCCAATTAGTGTGGGGCACTACTATGCAAGTAATATAATAGTCAAATCTATGCAAGTAATATAATACAGCAAAACAAAACTATGCAATAAAGTAGATTAAATCAAAGACAGCATAAAGCCAGTGAACAACATCAAAACAGAAGATAGGTGGCAGACACAAATGGGCAAATTCATGAGACGATGCCATGGAAAGCTTGAGTACAAAGCATTGTCTTCAATAATCTTGTAAAGGTTGGAAAGAAAGGGGTCCAGGGGCAGCTCAACTGGAAGCCCATTCCAAAGGGCTGCTGCCACAACTGAGAAGGCCCAATTCTGGTGGAAAGCTTTCTGACCTCAGTGTGGCAGTCTGTAGGACCAAGGCCTGTGAGTTGCTGGTGGTGTGGGTGGATGTTCTCAGGGAAAGGCACTCTGCTAGGTAACAAGGTCCCAAATCATAGAGGGTTTTATAAGTTAAAATTGGGGAGGGGGATCGGCCTGTAGAAATGGGAATGATGTTGTTACAGCCATGATAAAAGCTGTGCTTTCTCTCTCCCTGTCTCCCTCCTTCCCCCCAAATAATGCTTATTTATGCTGTGAGATAATCCTTTGGGTCATTCAGAGCTCTCTTTCCAGTGCAAATAGGTCTTGGGAAGGGGTGAAGGAAAGCAAAAATCCTTTTCCTGTCATCTGTGGTCTGAGTTTTGATCAAGACCCTACTACCTGCAGTTCCAACTTGAAGAAAGCAGTCAGATGTAATGCAGTAACAACTTCAGTGAGTTTATCTCCATGTTAGCAGGAGTCATATTGAAACTTGGAGAGTGCTATTAAGGATTACTGTTTGCATGAACTGTACAGGTGCAGTTTGTTACAAGCCATTCATAAGACCACAGCACTGAATTTTGATTAAACAACTTGTGTGAAAAAAGTTCACATCAGGGGTGATGTTCCCATCAGCTTCACCAAGGTGGAGGCTGTTTCTTCAGATTTGCCAACAAGACAGCCTGAGTGGAAGCTGCATTCCCAAGGGGGAGGAGAGTATTATCATACATTGCTCCTTCATTGAGATCTCTGTGAAATCAGACATTGGGTTATATTCTGTGCCTGCACAGCCATCTCAGAACCTTCTAGGGCCTAATAGGAAAAAAAAACTTTTGACACACCCTCCAAACTACCACATGTGCTCCCTGCTTCCAGAGCACTCCTCAATTCATTTTTCCCCATTTGGGGGAGTAAAGGTTACTTACTAAAATGATCTGTAAACTTTGGAAGGGAAAAAGATTTTCCCAAGTCCCCAGAAACAAATTATGTCAAGCAATGAAAATCCAGTGTATAAGAAATGGAAGAACTAAAAGTTAAAAGGGTAACACATGTTAAAGGCCTGGCAGCTAAAAAGGCTTATTTTGTTACGAAGAATCAAATAAAGGCGACACTAAGCAAATTGCTCTTAGAAGGTAATTTCACACATTCACCATTTCACAAACTGATCAAAGTACCATCTCTCCAGTATAACTGTCACATAGCAAGGCTAAGTCATAATCATGTGTTCATGAGCCCATGGGAAAATTTCTATCTTGAGAACTAGACAATAGTACTCATTAAGTTTCTGTATGATTGCCTTAGATGATATTGGACCGAATCCAGATGTGCCCTTCTGACCACTAAGTTCTAGTAGACACTCTGCTCTGGAGGCCATTTTTGTTGATGCCTCCTTTCCACCAGCGGTCCTTTGCACCATTTCCCACAGTGGTCTGGAGCGTCTGCCAGTTCTCTGGAGCAGAACGAGTAGAGGAGATTGACAGGATGCTGCAGGGAAAAAACTAAGTTAGTGAAACTGTATTTTTCTTCCTCCAGTGGTAACTCTTGATGAGGAAGGTTTTCTTCACTGCAAGTCTGGATCCAGCCCAGTATCTTACATAATAATTCTAGAGTAGTGGTTCCCAACCTTTGGTAATACAGGTATTCTTGAACTGCAACTCCTAGAAACCTTCACCACCAACTGTGCTGGCCAGGGTTTCTGGGAGTTGCAGTCCAGGAACACCTGAGTTACCCAACTTTGGGAACAACTGTTGTAAAAGATGGAAAGGTAATTAATATAGTTAGCTAATTTTAAGCACTAAAACTTGCAAATAACTGGGTTTAATGTTATGAATCAAATAGTTATTGTGTGAAGAGTACAGTGGTGCCTCGCTTAACGATTTTAATTGGTTCCAAAAAATTCATAGCTATGGGAAAACATCGCTAAGCGAAACGTGTTTTCCCATAGAGATGCATTGAAAACCGGATAATCCGTTCCAATGGGAACGGATTGCCATCCTTAAGCGAAAATCGCCATAGGAAACATCGCTAAACGAAATGCGGTTCCCCCATTGGAATGCATTGAAACCTTTTCAATGCATTTCAATGGGGGAACAAAAAAAATCACCAAAAATTCAAAAAGAGTCAGAACGAAGCCAGATTTGGTTAACAAAGGGTTTATTAAGTGCACTAACGATTTCAAGCACTCTAAACCCTTTTAAGCAATTTAACACTTTTAAAAATAGCGAAAACGGAGCTGTCAAAAACATCGCTAAGCATTACAGGGGGACCTAATCTGTCATCGCTAAGCGAAGCAAGGTCCCGAACATCGCTATGCGAAATTCCCCCATTGGAAACATCGCTAAACAGAGCGCAAGATCGCTCCTAAAACCTCATCGCTAAGCAAACACATCGTTAAATGAGGCAATCGCTAAGCGAGGCACCACTGTATTAGTTGAAGCCCTTAAAAATTAGTAGATGTTCTACCAAGATGAGCTTGAAACTTCCTAAACCTCTTGGGAAGTCTGATGTTCTTAAAGCTGCAAAAATTGGATGTAATCAATTCCTGCAAGACCTCTACAATCTGTATTCTACAACGGCTTTTTTTTTTGGTCTTGGCATGATCTACACATATGTCTGATGTTTTTTTACCCCTATACAGTCCCAAACACTCACTGCTCTTTGCACTGTGTAGTGTTCTCAGAGAAGACAGATGGACCTTCAAAACTGAAGGAAACTGCCAGTGTGGATGGGCTTCCTTTCTGTGAAAATTGCCTTCATTCTGGAACCACGGGGGAATTTGTAGTTGGAGCTTGCAGCCCAAGGTGTGTCCCTCAGGTGAAAAACAGGTAAGGGTGGACCTAATGCGTGCAAAATAATTTGATCTCCAGAATAATGTGATACCTTGTGTGCATGCTGCCACAGTATAAGTGAACACTGAGTGAGTAGGAGAGAAATTAAGCTACATGGTGAATCAGATGACCTTCAAAGTAAAATATGTCTTCTATTTTTTAGCCTGTTTATTGCTATTGTAGCCTAACTGCCTGGAGAGAGAAGAGAAATGGAAACAGTATTATTTTGTAATTGTAATGAGGACACTGAAGATTCTGTTAAATAAAACATGGTGGATGCTATCTAGAATTATTTAAATCATTGACGCTTTGCCAGATGCTTCATGCAATGAGGGCATTTATTTTCTATCTCACTGAAACAGTAATTTTTTCAAGTTATTGCTAGCTCTTTTATGCTATTCTGTAAACTTACAGTACATTTCTTCTTAGAAGTAAGCCCCATTTCCTGCTGTGAGTGGGACTTACTCAAAGGTAAGTGTGCATAGGATTGTTGCCTTAAGCTTCACATTTGAAATCTGTCTTGGTTAATATCTTTGTTTTTATATCGAAGAAGCCAGACAAAACTCTCACTTAGCAGACAAAATTCTGCTCTTTATGAGATTATTACTCTAGGTAGTGTTGCAATAAATTACTATGCATATTTGTTCAGGACTATGTTGGTTTCGAAATAAAAAACTTTTTTTTAATTGGTGATTTTAGTCAGGACTTCTCTTTCAATAACAAATGTAGTTCAGCTCACCTTCAATGAATAATTATTGCAGGGCTGCATTCATTCTGGTCTGTGTAAATTGCAGCAATTTGTTTTGTTTGGTTCTTCCTCATTCTCAGTTAATAGTTTTCTGTTCACCATTTCACCACTTTGCAGTGTTTCAGTTTATTATTTCAGTTGCAATCATCTGCATTTGTGTTTGTTAATTATTTTCTTTTTTAAAAGACACTCTAAAGTCTTTAAATAGTTCAAAACTGCTTTAGATTACAGCCAAGTGCCTATTCAGCAGATGCTGCCAGTGTTTCCATTTGTAGCTTCTGTAGGAGAGATGGACAGAGTTAAGACCTGTGGGATCACCCAGAGATCCACCATTAGATCCTAACTTAACTTCTGCCCATCCTTTTTCTACAGTATGTATGTATGTATGTATGTATGTATGTATGTATGTATGTATGTATGTAGGTATGTATGTATGTATGTATGTACACTGTAGCAACTATACTGTATATAGTTTTAGCATTTCTAGTGACCAGTTTTGGCTCTTTTTAAAATTTAGTTTTCAAAATTGGTTATTTTGTTATTTTTATTATAGTTCAAGAGAGCAAAAGGAAGACAGAGTATCAGAATTCACCAATGAAGACCATTCCAAGGGAAATCAAAAAAGAAAAGCTAGAGTACCTTCCAAAGGGGAATGTATGGAAGATGGAGACAAAAAGGATGAAACAGTTAGTATGGCCCAGTTTAGGGGCTTATAAATTAACTTCATCTGTAGATGTAAATCTTTCTTGCCTTCAGAAAGTTCCTATATTTTATATCTTTATGTGCTGTTGCTTGGAATCATAAGAGAACTTGTGGTCTAGATGGGCGGGATAGAAATCCCATACATACATACATACATACATACATACATACATACATACATACATACATACATACATACATTTTAGAATAAATAACATTTGAATGGAATTGTGTCAACTACAAAGATTTTTTTGTTTAAATGTGGCTAATAGATGTCAACAGTTTGTGATAAATCACATGCTAAAGATAAGTTTTGAAACTTCCTTCAGACACCAATTTGCATTTCTTAATGATGAAATTAAATAACTAACAAAAAGGCCAGTGGCTAACAACAAGGCCAGTGCAGGTGATGGCATTCCAGTTGAACTATTTAAAATCTTGAAAGATGATGCTGTTAAGGTGCTACATTCAATATGCCAGCAAGTTTGGAAAACCCAACAGTGGCCAGAGGATTGGAAAAGATCAGTCTACATCCCAATCCCAAAGAAAAGCAGTGCCAAAGAATGCTCCAACTACCGTACAAT